AAGACAGTATTAAATAATTGATCAACCTCTGCTTCATAACAGTGTCATCTGTAGATGTCTCTTCTTTTTGATGATGCCCTTCTTTAATTCACAATAAATTTTTATCACAATACAAAATTTACTTTGACAAGCTAAATTCAAATCCAGAGGAATTCTGGGGTTGTCTAATAAGGACAAATTGTCTACAAAAAATATTAAACTAAATTATCAACTTCACTAACCAACATAACGCAAGTCCAAATTTACAAGTTTCTTCTTTCTGTTCCTTCTAACAATTATCACAATCACAAATACTATGATAATACAAACACAGAGTACTAGCACCAATACAACAGGAGTTACAATTGTTAGCGTTGAAGATGAAGAATCTATAGGATAAGGAAGAAAAGAGACATGTTTATACATGAAAACCAATGATTCACACTTATTCAAAACCAATGGCCCTCGGTATGATAAATGCCATAGATACCTCACCTTGTTGTATAACCTATACTTCTACCATGCCTAGTTGTAATTGACCAATCAGATTGCTCAATTTCAGGTTCATAAATAACTTACTTACCCACAAGTTTCCCAGAAGGTTGAATAAGTAGCCCAGGAGGTTGAATAAGTTTGTACAGGAGGTTGAATAAGTAGCCCGGAATTTTACTTATTCAGCTCCTGTTTGAAAAATGCATCCCTGTTATTATACTTCTACCATGCCTAGTTGCAATTGACCAATCAGATTGCTTGATTTTAGGTTCATAAATAGCTTTTTACCACTAGGAGGTTTGATAAGTAATTTCCCGGGCAATAGGAGGCTAATAAGTAAATTCCCAGACAGTTGGAGGTTAATAAGTGGCCCGGGAGGTTAATAAGTTTGCCCGGGAATTTTTTGTATAACCTATACAACTCTGTGTCAGTATCTGTGGCTTTATCATACCTCGGGCCTACAGCCAGAGGTATGATGATAGACAACTAGTTTACTTAGCAACAGTTAGCAACAGGGATGCATTTTTGAAACAGGAGGTGAATAAGTAAATTCCCAGGCTACTTACTTAACCTCCCGGGGAAATTTGTTGGTAAGTGAAGCAGAAATTGAATAATCTGATTGGTCAACTGGGTATGGTAGAAATAGCTCTGTTTTTTGCAATCACTTGTATTTCATATGTTGTGAATGGAGTTAATCCCATTAGTGTGTAGTTTGTATGTACTGTACTATATTCAATGATATTGGTTGAGCTGTTAATGCTAATGACATAATAAAGATCAGTTCTGCCTCCATTATAAGCAGGCTCAAGCCAGGAAATGCTAATAATAGTCTCTGTGACTGAAGCATTTAAGTTCTGAGGTGAGCTAGGAGGAGCTAAATTTAAATTATTTTGTTGCATGTTGATTATAAATCATACTCACACTACTTACCAGTGCAGCTCACAGTGATACCTTCATAAAGTGTTCTATAATAACCAGGCAGACACTGGCAGGACACAGAACCAGGACTAGCTGAGTAGCTGTTTTCAGGACAATCTTTACATTCACTGTCTCCTGCGAATGGCTTGTAGGTGCCTTCTTGACAAGCTATAGTGGACATAAATTATTCATTACTATGACAAAAAATAAAGGAATTTTAAAGATTAAAGTGGCCAATAGCAACATGTGCAGGGTTTAGCCATAACATTTAACACTAAAGTAACCATGCATGAATAGAAAATCTGTACCTTCACAAACTGTACCATTAGCCTCATATCCAGCATTACATTGACATGAAGCTGATCCATCCCACACTCCTAACAACCTACACTTTAAACTTAAACTATTTGATGATGTAGGGCTGGCATTATCAATGCAAGTAGCATCAC